AATTTTTTCTCTTTTTTATAATAATAGATCTTTACTGAACAAAACCGTAGTTTATTTTATATATCAGAAGTATTTATGGAAGATCAAGGTTTATTTACATGTAAAGCTTCAAATTCAGCTGGTTCATCGGATTGTTCAGCTCGGCTTATCGTTGAACCACGACCACAACTTTAATAAAAATAAATAAATAAATAAACTTATTGATTCATTGCCCTTTTTTCTCACTTCTTTTCTCCTTTTTTACACTTTTGTAATGCTTTGTTGTATCACGTAAAATTCTTTTTGTTTCATGTTTTTTTTTTCTCTTTGTTTTTGCACGCATATAAAATTTGCCGCCGTCCCCTAAAACAATGCGCTTTTCTTAGAACAATATGACATATAGAAAAAAAATACAATAATATGAAATTATTATTATAAAACAGAAATGAACTCAAGCTTTAAAAATAAATGGTTATCTGCATAATAACATAAAGTTATTTTTCTTTTAAATTGTCATTTTAAAAATATTCATCTATTTTCGACATCGATCTCAATACAAAACAAAATGCTGATCAATACAGCCATTTTAAGGGTAAAATGTAGAATTCACATATGTTCTGTAGCTTCATTATGCTAATAAAAAATACGTTAAGTAATAAACCACAATTGTTTTCTAAGGAAAATTGATTGTCAGGAAAACGACCTGCATTTCGAACAGATGTCCTTTTTTTTTCACTGGCGCTATTGTTTTTTGTTTGTCTTATTGCAATTCACTCCTTGTTTTCCATTTTCATATTCAGCTTTTCTTAATGTTACATTATTATTATTGTAGCTATTGATTTAGCCGGCAAATAAGCCTGGTGTACGCATCCATTATTGCTACAACAAGTCTCAATACTCTATTAAAAACCTCGATAAGCTCATAAACCTTGATATTGATTATTGTCCACTGTTATAAGTTTATCAATTTACGCTTGTAATATTGAACATATGATGCCTGTGGCCAATCAAAGCTTCATTTCCCATCATGATTAATATCTTGAATATAAATATTTGCCTGTGCAACATCTAAAAATGTTTCGATGCCAATCAATTTAGGAGTAAGGTCTTTAGAATGTTATAGGACAGTCTAAGTCTTGTGCTTAATGCCGTTCAAAACTCTAGGAAAGAAGTCAGATACCTTTTGTTCTTAATTATTATGTAAACGTACTCGATGACTATTTCTCTCTCCTCCTCCCTTCATTGCTATACATGAAGCTGAAAAATTTGAACTTGAAACTTACACTCACTATATTCAACATATAATAGTCGAACAATAAAAGATATTAATTAATCGATAGTGGATGGTCACAGCTGTATACTTTGCTATCCCTTTATATATTCTAGTTATTGCTTCTTATAAGTATAGAGAGAAGCTTTCATAACGATGTTCGTTCGTTGGTTGATATTGACAATAACTATTGATACAATTTACTTTCAGTGTGCTTATTCCGGTCAGCTAGTAGGTGGATTACAGAAATCTTATAACAATGAATTAAAGACTGAACTGGTGAATTTAGCACGTCAACAATTAAGTTCAAACACTCATTTAGCTTCTAAACCTATTCGAGTACTTGAATTTTATTCACAAATAGTTGCCGGTACCAACTATTGGTTAATATTTATCGTTGGTGAAGAGCAAAAATGTAAACTCATAGCCTACAAACCATTACCTTACACTCATAAACCAATTCAAGTAACGTTTTTTAAATGTGATAATATCACATCTATTAATCAAGTTACTAAAAATAATCATTAAATCGATATTTCATAAAAATATTTTTTTTCTGATGTATACTATTTCAATGATGTGAATAAATATTGAATGTCATTTATTTTAAATATCTATTTGTTGCAAGTTTATTGATAAACTTTGAATTCTATGGAGATATTGTAAATGGAGACATGCTCAAGTTTCATTAATTCATTACTTATAACAAAAGAATTATTATTCTAAATTTTTATAGTTTTAATTTTACTACTAAAAAGTATACGTCGGTTCGTAATACAGAACAGCATGTTTCTTTTCTATCTCCAAAACAGAAAAATATCAAAAAATTTATCTTGAACATTTAATATTGAATAATTAATTAGATACTTTTAGTATACATACATGTGTCCCAAACAAAACGTACTATCATTCATTAGACAAAACCTGTAATTATTCGACGCACAGTAAATACAAATTAGATCAAGAGAACGATAAGTATAAGAAGATTTACGATGTTGCTTAAATGTATTAGATGACCGAGTGGATTTTTGTTTTAAATGATTTATTGAAACCATTCAATTTATTAATTAATAGACATCCACACCTATACCAACACCCACACCCACATCCCTAAATATAGGTTCTTGTAGATCCATTGGTGCAAGAATTAATTATTATATTAAACTATTAAAAGTACTGAAAATAAATAACACATTGACTAGTACAATTTTCATACTTGGCTTTATTAAAACTAACAATAGTTGATGTGCTCATTAATCTATTACATTGTTTGACATCATTGATAGGAATGGATTTTCTATCGACTTTGACTATGGTTGCTGAAATATTTAATTAACAGTCAAATATTCAAACAAAATCAACAGATAGGACGTGTCCTTATGTTCACATTAAAAGGATCAGACACTATGTGTAAAAGCTGCTTGGGATTCATTGTTTTTTCTTTTAGTTTGTGCTATCTTAATGATATTCTTTATGTCTTTTTGAGGTTATTTTTCGATGGCCATTGAACAGGAAAAAATTAAAACTTTCATTCATAAAATACAGAAGTCTGTTATATAAGTTTTGTCTTATGGAACCTTCTGTAACTTAGACTAAATTAGTTATATAAAGTTACGAGTTTCAATTTTTTTTTAAAGAAAATAATGGTAAAAATGAGCTAATTTTTATTCTTGAAAGATATTTGGGAGACAATTTTCAGATGAGAATGTGTCAAGAATGAACACAATATGAAGTTATTTTTTTTTCGATTAAACTATTTTTGGAAATGCGAAAAAGTTTTACAACAAATGAGCTCAGTACAGACACATTCTGTTTTCAGTTAATTTCTTTTTCATCAATTGATATGAGTTGAAAATGAATCTTTACGGCTATTTTTATAAATGTCTAAGAAGCAGAATACAAAACGGATAAATTTAAACTAGTGAAATTTGTTTTTTAAAATTTATTTGAACAGGAAAGAATTATCTGAATACATAAAAGAAATCGAAATGAAATAAGTTTTTCGATCACTAGTTTAGAACATTCAAGATTAAAAAATTTATAGTAGATTATGATGAGTATTGTTAATCATTTTGGTGAAATAATAATAATAAGCCATTCTAGATGAAGGTCGGTCTAGGCTTACACGTGACGGTGAGAATAAGAATGAAAAATCCTTGTTCACACCTACATCTACAACCAAATCCTACCTAGCAATATGAGGGTTGATCATATAATAGAAACTATTAAAGTATCGAGCAGTTTATTTCTCTTCAAAAAAATTCAATTTTATTTTCAAAACATTCACTAATAGAGGTGCGAGAAAGTTGTTCTTTATTGTCACTGTGTAGGAAAGCAGTGAGTCACTTTCGATTTTTTCATTTCACGACAAACGTATTCTTGTGAAAAGTCAACAGACGTAGGTAAGCATTCAAAATGTGACACAAAATATTAAAGTAAGAAGGGTGAATGCGTACGAAAAATCGCATCATAAACTTTGTAAAATGTATATCCTTTTCATTTCTGAATATTACAAAAAAATTTTCTGACAAATCTGATAGAGTAAGCGTTCCTCTATCGATCTGTGAAATTTGTTTTTTGAAGTATCCTCATGACTAGCTGTCATGTAGAATATTCTAAGTGTTGCCTTCGAATTACGCAATCGTCTTATTTTGAGAGAATGAGTAATTTCAGCTAAAATGGTGGTAACTACTAAAACAAAATTTTGTAGGCTTTTTCACCAATCGATAGCTCAAAGTCTTGACTACCATGCTAAAGCAATTAGAATATATATACTCGAAATCTCAAGTTTAGGTAGATGTCACGGAAAAGCTTTGAAATAGAGTTCGTTATACATCTATTCCATGTTGAGTGAATGCATAATCCCATCCGAATTTGCTCAGATCAATAGAACTAACCTTGTATGAAATCATTAAAATATTTCGATATTATTCCGATGCAGAAAATGTCCAATATATCAAGCTTGACATCCAGAAAGTTGGAAAATGAAAAAAGATCAATTTAAATTAATTTTTGAATTTCAGATTTCAAGAAAATTCAAATCACTTGTGTTGTCCATTGTATTAATTTGAGTCACTCACATCATAATAATTTTTTCTTTGATCAAGTAATCAAATTCTTGAAAATCAAGTCATTTAAATTAAGTTTTATTTGATTTTCAATTTTTGTGAACGCATTTCTTGCATTCTCTCACGTACTGTCACGACGCATCTTCTTACGATTTATTCTTGTAATAGATCACTTTCGTTAAAGTGACATTCTTTTTTTTGATTAAATAATTGAGAATAACTACTATGCAGGTGCATATCATTGAAATATCAATCAGATTGATACGATAGGTTTATCTTGTTGTTTCTAGATTCTTAGTTGATTGAATCAAAAGTACCTCTTCATTTTCATGACTGAAGACATAACTCTAGTAGCAGATTTTGCAAGATCCTGATCATGATCCTCGTATTGTACCAGGTAATACTCTAACTTATTTAAGAACAATCCAAAGTTTTTATAAAGAAATATTGGACTATTCTGACAAATATAATCAAAGTAATGCACAACTATCAATTCGTCAAGTATTAAACAAATATGGTGAAACTTATTATACATTAGCTGGGTTATATGGTAGCGAACATCATCTCAATTAGAATGAAGTATCGATTAAAATATACACATTTCAGTCATGTATATACATTCAGTTAAATAATGCTTTAAGAAATGATGAAAAAGAAGTATTATTATTATTTGCGCCATATATATGTATAGCTTATTAGGAGGTTTACAAGAATCTAAAAGACATTATCATGGTGTCGTGTACCGTGGCATGGGTTTAGGATCTGTAGCATCATCGGCATATAAAAAAGGGTTATTATTTTATTGGTCAGGTTTTACATCTTGCACTAAAGAGTTAAAAATATCAACTAAATGGAGTAGATGTACTGCTGTCTCTGTTATTAATATACCACAAAGATTTTCTCATGCATGCTTCAACATAGATGACATATCTAAGTTCCCATCAGAAAAAGAAGTACTATTGCAACCATATACATGTTTTCGTGTTCTAAATAACCCTACTCAATCTAACGACAGTGGAAAGGATCTAACTAAAATAGAACTAGTGATTGAAGGTACTGCATGTAATTTATCTGGTGTGTGGACATGTGATGACAACGAGCTTAATGTAAAAGATGCCGGTACATATTGTATAAGTCACTACAGACAAAAAGTATTCTGGTTTGAACGACAAAGCAAAGCACGATGGAATTTTGCCAATGTCTGTTGTGGTACAATAAATAATGATTATGAATTGACAATACAATGGGGTGATCTTCCACTTGTACATGATAAATAGTCTGGCGTATTAAAGCTAAAACTGTCATCAGATTATCAAAGTATGATAAAAACATATGACAGTAATAAAATATTTTGGGGTACAGAATTTCGTCGCATATCAAACGAATATTTGGATAAATTTGAAATTGATAAAAATATGAAATAGAAAACGGCAGATGATATGAGTGGTTGTTGGGAAGGTGATGATGGATCGTGTTATATGATTGGTACTTGTCAAACTCAAATATATTGGTTAGCAATTGATAAAAATAATAGATGGGCACATGTTCGTGTTGGTACATACAATAATAATATTATTAGCATGAATTGGGATGATTTAATTATTGGTCAAAATAGAATTCATGATGCAATAGAATGCAGAATTATATCAAGTAATAAAATTTTAATCGTAAAATGTATTCATGGTCAATTTTTAACAAAAGAATTAACGAAAAAAAGTTAATCACCATAATTTATTTCGCATTATTTTTACTATAATATTCTACAAATCCTCGGACACATGTATCAATTATTGCAGTAAACTGCAGAATAAAGTCCATCGTTTCATATCTATATGTCTTCTAGAATAACTGAAGTTGTGTAGTAGATTCAACACTATATGTTAATATCTTTTTAGTTAACTTATCATGCTTTGGTTTCCATTTGAAGCTTTTCTAAGGCATTCGAATAGCTGTGCGTGTGTGACGTGATTTCAACAACAAATAAATGGAAGGCTCTTCCAAGCAAAAAGCGTTGCCGTGACTCATCCTCTTGTAATTACTTCAATGAAGAAGGAGGCATAGATTTAACCATTAGTCCATAATAAAAAAAAAGAGTGTTCCTCGATGGATTAGCGGGAGGTAGCAAAAATTAGAATTCACTGTCGTATTATCTGCCTAAAAAGAATAAGTAACGCTTGTTGTTGAGATTCGCTTGGTCCTCGACTGAATGACCAAATCTCTCTGTGCAATATACCGTTTTACAAGACCGATTGATATTAATATTAAATGCATGTTTTCAGGAAACTTAGGATGTAGAGATTGGTATAGATGTAACTATGAGCGTCAGCATGCGTCTCAGTTCCATTGTCGGTCAAAATGTTCGTTTGCGTGCTGTCCAGTGCTTCTATTCATCTATTGAACCAACCACACTCACGCATCCACTTTGAACTAACTCACAACATTATACACCGCATTTCATAGTTGTAACAAAACCGGTTTAGTCTATTTGATCGGCTCATATTTTAACGACATATCTAGGAAATTGAGGATGGGAGGGTATTGTCCATGGTTCTTGAAAACTCTCTGTTCCAGTTTAAATTTTTTTCTTCAGTATAAATCAAATGTCTCAATTATCTAGTTTCTAGTAAGTGACACAAAAAAATATCTGTTCTTCTATTAAATATAATAAAATTAACAAAAGAAAGAAAAAAAGGGAAATCAGCTTAAAAAAAGAATTATTTCAACAGTATTCGATTGTTCTTATGCTGTATTGCGAAAGCATCAATAATATTTTCATAATCAACCACAATCTCTCTCTCGATGGTTAATAATGACAAAGATATCAATCTCATATTGGACATACTATTATGTGTAGTCGTCTTGATAATTTTCTTGTTTTGGTGGAAGTAATAAATACTTCTTTTGAACTCTCATAGAGTTTGTATCACAACAAGATACATTTACATAACACGTGAAACATTTAACTTTCCAAAAACCTTTTGCTTGTGTAATGATCCTTTTATTTCAGCATCGCGGCGTGAGAGTTCTTAACGTCTCCTTTCCTTCCCACACAGTGGTCAGCCAGGTAAGAAGATCGATTTTCAAGATTTAAGTCTATATCATAGCTAATATTGAAGAAAAATAAGCATTGGTCAGTAATGCAGTTATTTTCCCGAATTTTCACAGAACTTTAATTCAAGTTTCAACGTGTTATTTAGTAGAGCATGTCATCATCTATGTTTAGTGAATGCGCAAAGATGCGCGTTTAAATTCTTATTCATATATAGTATCTCAAATGTAACATTCTATCAAAATTCATTGGCAATTTTTATACAGTTTTCATTAAAATTTTAGTTCATCAAGTTTTGAATAGATAAATAAACAGCAAAAGTACGCCAACTTCAGATTTCAAATTGGCTATTTCATTTTAACATCGGTTCTTTAACTCTGTTAGAAATTAAATATATGGAAAAAAAACCATGCCTAGTTTCTCTTGTAAGAAGTACATCCATAAACAAAAATTTCTCTCCTAATTATCTTTTTATGATGTCAAACTTTGTATTCCATTTATTACTGAATAGAGATATGAAATGTAAGATTTATTTCATCTTGACTTACCAATCACACTAATAAAACTCTCATGTCATATCTTTACTCAGTAATAAATTTGATGCAAAGTATAGCAGCATAAAAAGTAAAGGGAAAAAAGACCTTTGTTCAAGGTATAAAATCACTTGTTTCATACTTTCATAGTTTTCTCGTTCGTAAAAATACACTTGGTTGCATGATCTTTCTAAAATTCGTCTGAGACAGATAACGGTAGTGAAAGTGAATAATTTTTATAGTGAGAGTTAACAAAGATTGCAATACATGCAATGAATATCGATAAATTTAGGTTTCGCATAGAACTTTAGAAAATATGAAATATTCGAAAACTCATTTTAATATGTTTCAAGATATATGACAGAATGATTTCAAACTTCGCATAACATTTATAAAAAAATTTCTACAACATATCAAGAAGACATCGTTAAAACTTGCAAAATACCATAAACTAATCCGAAATATTTCTGTCATTTCGTTCTTTTGCGACAAACTTCATAGCATCAGCGAGTTCATTTACATATTACAATTAGACTGGCGTCAAATCTGAACATTTGAATTCGATGAATTCCCTTCAATATTTGTTGACTCGAATTTGAGCACTTTTTTGTATCTTCATTTGTACATTTTCTAAATATTAACTGATGCATAAATAAAAAATATAGAAAAGAAAATGTGTTCTCTATGAAAATCCTAGTTCTTCTGGGTTGTATGCATCGTCCGCTTACTAATTTATTTATAATCTGGTACTAAGAAGCTTTTTCCAAGTAACAAACTACTAAAACACATATTTTTTCTAAAAATGTTTGACATATATATACGTATATGTATCTGTGTGATCCGCTACAACCAAACAGTGAACTTTTCCTTAAAAATCTTATGACTTTACATTTAGATGAATATCAATTCAAAACTATAAAATGAAGTCTAATTTGTACCCTTATGTTTTTTTCTGCAAGGATTCAAAAATTGGAAACAAATTATTGATGATAGCCTGCTCTAGACTTTTGAAGAGTAATTAGTCCATGTCAGATCTATACAATATAAAGTTAATAATTGTGTCAAGTGTATGGAAAAAATTGCCCTCTCATTCTTGGTAAACAACATTGTAATGAGACAACTTCTTTTTATTGTGCTAATTCGTAGTTTTCGACAGCCAAAAAACTTCATTTTTCACAAGTCTTTCAAGTAAGAGAAGTTAGGTATGTACAGATAATCATTACGAAATATCAGCTATATATAATCAACATATTAAGTTATAAATTGCAATCATTAAAAAAATTGCTGTTAGTCTCCATTTTTCTCCCACTGTACTCTCGTAAAGAGCCGTAAGCAACGCTTGTTTCTGTATACACCACAAACTCTGAAAAAAATGGCACCCTTGGTCGAAGCCACCGCAACAGTGGGAACTTGCCGTATCCGATGGTATAATAGTATTCAGTTTTGCTTTTTGTGATTATTAGACAACATGTGAAATATATTTTTAATACTTTTTCTGCCAACGCCAATCCGTTTTTTGTTAACTTAGGTTAAACGTTCACGCTTCTCAATGACTGTTTAAGGTGACAAAGAAGTTATACAATTGAACGAACAGTGACCGATTAGTATAAATTATTGATTTTATTTTTTTTCTCCTTCTCTTAAATTAATGATTGAACAAATAAATGTTATAATAAGTTAAAGTTAAGTATATTAAAACTATTAATGTTCAGCTAATTTACGAGAAAGTCATTAGCCTATGTCGTCGTGCAGTTTATAAAAAAATAATTAATCATCAACGTAGACATGATACCAAAGCTTTATCATTTATCATGAAAAAGATCTAGTAGACCTCCTCTTCCAAAAACGCATAACTTTTGTAGTTAACATATATTAATATTCAGTGCATAAAATAGAGATTTACATTATTTTTCCATTGTTTGACTAGAATATTGATATGCCTAATCACCTTCGTTTCTTTTTTCTCTTACAGACATATTTTGCAAGATGCACCGTGTATATGCATCAGGTAGTCGATATTTTATTGTCATTTTATTACATTACTATTCATCTCGATCAAGGTTGTAAAATAATTCTTTTACGTTTTAAGAAAACTGCTTATCTATTTAACTTTTTCGAATTTCACATAGCCCTTTAATAGACGTCTGCAGCTTAATTTTTCTAAATATTTTCTTCAGATATGTAATCAAGTGTTGTGATTGATCGCCATGATTCGATACTTCAAAGATTAAATTGTATAATTTTGTTCTTTAGATTGGATCCAACAGCTAATTCAAATGTAAGTATGAATTAATGCAATTATTTATAAACAAGTTATAAATATTGAACTTATGAGGTGAGAAAAGGATTAGGTGGGTATTGGTAACCAATGGTTTGTTGCCAGTCCGACCGATACTCGAAGAAAAGGGCGATAATGAGGGGAGGGGGGCCAACGTTCTCCAACTGTCGGAAATTATCGGATTATGTAGGAATTCCTATAGAATTCGACACCGGGATTCTTCATTTTGAGATTATAAGAAACTTGATGTGCAACAAAGTCGAAACTTTTTAAGTTTTCTTATAGACCTAAAGCATCTTCAAAACGACTTATTAGAGATTTGAGATACTTTTCAAGGCTTCGTAGATTTCCTATAAGACCCTCGTTGGTTCCGTAGGGAACGTTTTTTCCTAGTGAAGTCTATCATCAATTTACCATTTAGAAAAAAACTTTAACCAAGTAAAGAAATCCAGAAATACTTCTACTTTGGTTATTTAGTAAGTGAATAGGCGACATTGATTCGAAAAGCTGAATTCAAATTCCATTACTATACTTCGGACTTCGCAATAAAAGTTTTGACTTTTTAGCTACACTGTTGCCGATCAAATTTTGAAAAAGTTGACTTATTGTTAAACGTGAATTACACTTCCACTACCCTTATACAGCCTGTACTACCAATCAGAGACCGAAAATGAACCGAACTCGAACCAGTAAAAGAGAATCAAGCCATCAATCGAAATTATTTATTAAAAAATGTATTGACAACTGTTTATAGAGTTCTCTTAGTAATGAATATCAGAATGGCTACTATATCAATGTTTTTTATCATTTTCGGCTTATTTTCCTTGAATCTCGATAATTTATTTCTCTAATTTATATAAC